TTTTCCATATTTTGTTTTTAGTTTTTCTGTATCACCTTAATGGAAATGTCCTCCCTCAGTATTAGTTGAACAGAATGTTCTAAATTTCAATGTGTAATACTAGTGATTTATTGATGCTATCTTCAAAAATAATTAAGTTTGAATATGATAGTAACTTAGGTTCTTTTCTTGAAATTTATCCAAATTACTGAGCATTTAGTCTTTTAATATGCTTTTAGCACCTAGCAATTTTTACGTTGTCTTACTGAAATGTGGAGACTTTAATTGTCCAGATGTCATACAACTTTAGTAAGCAACTTGACACCATTTTCAAGATACAGTCTGTAAGTAACAATTATTCCAGTTGCTATTACTGTGTAAACTGCATAATCACATATCTTACATTCACTCAACAAGTCAGAATCCTAATATTGATTGAGAAGTAGTGCACCACAATAATATTTAGGATCCACTAAAAGTAATGTTATACTCAATGGAGAAAAGGCATTCATAATATGATAAAATAGTTTACATTTTTATACAGATGTGTGGAAGATGAAAGTCTCTTATCATCTGACTCATCTTTGCCAATGTTGGAATTATGACCTGTGTTTGTCATTCTGTACTTGATTCTTAATTTAGGATTTCTTTCTCAGTCATTACATTCTAAACTCCACAGAAGACATGTAGGAAAGTACCATTAAACCATCTAAGCCATTCCTTCTGTCAGATATTAAACAGTACTTTCTTGGCTAGTCCAACTCACTGCCCTCCTTCCTTGGAATTCTAGTTATACCCAAGAGCATGCCTTTAACCCCAGAATTCTATAACTCACTTTATGTTGCCCTACAAAGTATAATGAAAGTAATGAATAGGAGATACAAAGCTTAAATGTTTAGAACACATAATTACAGATAGCACAGGAGTGAAAAACAAAAGAAATTAATATTTACTTCAATAAATCTTTCTCATTAATGAAATGTATATTTTTATTTATTTTTTATTTTTACTTTATGTGCATTGGCATTTTGCCCCTGGAACTGGAATTATAGACAGTTGCAAGCTGCTATTCTGGTGCTTAGAATTGAACCCAGGTCCTCTGGAAGAACAGTTGGTGTTCTTAACCACTGAGCCATCACTCCAGCCCCAAAATGTATATTTTCTAGATGTAAATCAAGCAAATATTTAAGTAGGTTATCCTTCTCTAAAAGAAAATATCATTCTGGACAACTGAAACTTTTCATGTACAATGTCTATTATTGGACTTAATAAGAAGGTTGGGAAAAGAAAAACAGAGGCTGGCAGATGATTCAATGACCTGAGACATCACAAGTAGCTATAATTATTGTGTTAATTAAATTCACAAAAAGTAGTGAATTAAAAATGTCTCCAATTTTTTTAAAAAAATTAAGCAATGTTCTAAAACTGAAAAGGCACTGACAGAAATTAAGAATTCGGTTGATGATGTGGGTGGTACCCCAGACTAATAAGACAAGAGTCAAGCATGTGGTTCACACCTTTAATCCCAACACTCCAGAGGCAGAGGCAGGCAGATCTCTGATTTTGAGGCTAGCCTGATCTACAGAGCAAGTTTCAGGACAGCAAGGGCTACTCAGAAAAACTGTATCCAAAAACAAAACAAAACAAAAACAAAACAAAAACAAAACAAAAAACAAAGAAGAGGAGGAAAGGAAACTACTAAAAAAGGGGAAAGATGCTATAGCATAATCATCAAGCGATAAAGAGCATGAGTGACTTAAAAGCACAAATTACTTATAAAATCCATGAAGTATGTGGTGAAAAGATTTAACATATATACACTCTGATTCTCAGGAGAGTAATGTAAGGTAGAAGAAATATTTGAAGGTATACCAGTAAGTATTATTTTAAATCGATAAAGTATCAACTCACAGTTACAAAATGTTGTAATAACTTCAAAAAAGATTTTAACAGTAAATCAAAGCTGTTCAGGTAATATAAGGTTGTTGACAATTTTCAAACAAAGAAAGAATTTTAAAAGGAGCTAAGAAGAGGAGAAAGTCACAGTATATCAATAATAATTCAGTAGTCATAGTCTTAAGAAAGAATTGTAAGAAGTTTATCTTGAAAGTTATGGGAAAATACCTTCCAACTCAGCATTAAATACCTAGCAAAATTATTTCTCAAAGGTGATGTTGAAATACTACAACTGAATATACAAAAACATGGGGAATTTCTTCACTATCAGGCCATAGGGAAAGAAATGTTCAAGAACATTTCCAAAAGAAAAATAAACTCAGTGAGAAACACAAACATAAATGGGTATTAACAGTACAAATGTGATAATTGTATGTATGGAATCTATGTCTAATTCAAAAATGCAAGTGTAACATAAAGTGGGAAGCAGATATATAATGATTTCCTAAGGTCCTAGCATTTACTCAGCATGACAATGCATTCCAAGTATTGGTTTATGCCTTAAGAAGTTATCAGTGTACTTTATAATCTCCAGGAAATCAAAGAGAAAATAAAAAGAAAATACAACATTAAGACCCATATCAGAGCTACAGACATCAGCAAAAAGGGTTCATATGAAGTCCCAGACCCTTCTTTCCCACCCCACCCCCCACAAAAAAAAAACATTTTGTCAAAACTACCCAATCATGAGAAACCTAAAATGAGGCAAAACGTTTTTGCCCTCCAGACAAGCTCAAATCTCCCCTTTCAAAGCAGGGGAGAAACACAAGGAACTTCTCATCGCATTCTTTTCTCCCAACACAGTGTTGCTCACTTAGGGAGAAGCAACAGCTTCCGCCTTTTCTCCAAGGAATCATGAAGAGTGAAACCTGCATTCTACATCCTACATTTCAGGGCACAGAGCCTGTCGTCTGTCTCACTACTCAGAGCACAAATGGAATCCTGCACTTTTGTAGGATGAGTGAAGACAACTAGCAGCAGTCATGTTCAACAGGACCTGGGGTTCAGCCCCGTACGAGTAGTCTCTCTCTCTTTCTCTCTCTCTCTCTCTCTCAGACAGAGTGGAACAGGGAGGGACCCAATTTTATGGCTTCTCAGTGAGCAGATCGAGAAATTCTTTTCTGTCTTGCCTGAATCAGCACCCTGATAGAGCACAGAAGATTCTAGATGCTTGAAAATGACTCAGAACAACAACAAAATGGTGCATCTAGGTATGGGTGCACACTTTTAATCTCAGGTCTCTGTGATTTCTGAGTCAGCCTGACTTACCTAATGAGTTCCAGGCAGGCAGGCCTTCTAGTGATACACTGTGTGGGTAAGAGGAAAGAGGTTTACAGACACTGCCACTCCAGGGTAGCCACAGGGCAATGAACGGACACCAATGGGAGCAGAGATAATGAGCCCCAGAATAAAAGCAATGAGTGGATCACTCCTGCTAGGACTTTGTGCATAAAACTATGGAGAATACATACACATCTGCCCAAATGGCTTCACAGAGCCCCAGGTTCTTAGACAACTGACAAGTAATGGCCATTCCATGCACAAAGGTAGGCAAGAAAGATTGGGAGAGGTGGCTGGGTTTTGGGGGGGGTTTCCCTACAAATAAGAGAATGTAGAGATCATATAACAACAGGAAAAAAGCAAGAGAATACACAAAAAAGAATGGGTACTATCTCTGAAAATCAACTTTTTTAACTTACAAATGCAAAATGTCCAATGAGCTCAAGAAAACAAAGCATTAACAGAAAGAGAATCTCAACAGATGTGGAGTTTTCAATTCAATACAATTCAACAGCACACACGACCAAGCAAAAAGAACTGTAACCTAGAGGTGGAATTTTTGAATTTACTCAGGAAGAGAGTAAAAAGTAAAACAGAACCTTAAAGCCTGAAGAAGAACTAAGAGATGTACAGGGTACAAAAAGAGTGAGCCAATATGTGCAATGTTATTCACATAAAGAGAAAAGAAAAACAAGCAGAAATCCTAGAGAAATTATGGCTTGAAATCATGGGATTAAATTGATAGACCAAGAACCTTAGCATAGTTCGGATAGGATGAAACTAAGTAAAGCCACGTCTACAAGCTAATTGTAGAGTCAACAATGAAGAGAGAATTTTGACAGCAGCAAGGAAAAAGTGACTCATCATATACAAGGGAGTACTGGCAAAGCTTAGCATCAGATTTTTCGGCAGAAAATCTGCATGCTAGAAGACATATTCAAACACCTGAAAACAAATGATCACCAAGCAAGAATTCCATATACAGTAATAAGTAAAATTATGAAGAATGTGATAAACAAACGAAAATCCTAATTAAAGAAAAGAAAGAAACTAACCTTTCCCGAAGAATCCCCTTCAGACTGCAATTGGTCCTCTCTGTCCCTTGAATCAGATAAACTGGGGCTGAAGGCCATGAGGTCAGTCTTAGGTGGGTACTCCCCAGAGCACACCCTTTGCCTCCTTTGCTGAGAGTATGACCAGCTCCCCACCGCGCTGGAGCAAACCATTACTGGTTTTCCAGACCTGCACATGCTCTCATTGGGCACAGCAGAGCAGCGCAGTGCGGTATACAGCAACAACGTGAGTACTAAGAGACTGGACACCGCGCAGATGGCGATGATCAAATACACATTGACATCTACCACTGATGCCTCCGGATTTATGACACTTGTGGACACTCGCGATGGAGTCTTTGGTACCTGGCCACTCTCTATTAGCGTCACCAACACAGTGGCAGTAACCGTCATTGCTGGATCACCATGGTCTTTCACCAGCACTAGAAGGTTCTGGCGCAGCAAATCTGCCTCGTCCAGGATGCGCGTAGTACTGATCTCGCCCGTGTACAGACCCACGCGGAACGGACTACGGGAATTGCCAGATGGTGACTGTAGCTCATAAGACAGCCATGCATTATAGCCAGAATCCGCATCCACTGCGCGTACCTTTGCAACCACATGGCCCACACCCACGGACCTTGACACCAGTCGGCTCACAACTCCACCAGATAATCCAGCTTCAGGTTCCACCAACAAAGGCGCATTGTCGTTCTCGTCCAGCACAAACACCTGCAGAGTCACATTGCTGCCCAGGGCAGGCACACCAGCATCCCGCGCGCTCACCTGGAACTGCAGCAGCTCCAGCTCCTCATGGTCCAGAGGCTGCAGCGCGAACACCTTGCCGCTCTCCGCGTGCACAGACACGAAGCTCGACAGCAAGCGCTCGCCCACCCTCCTCTCCACCAGAGAGTAGGACACCAGCGCGTTCTCCTGTGCATCCGCATCCATGGCCGACACCGTGAAGATGTGCGCGCCAGGCGGGTTGTTCTCCTTCACGAACACCGTGTATTCGGGCTGCGCGAACGCGGGCGCGTTGTCGTTCACGTCAGCCACCTCCACGGACACGCTGGCTGTGGCCCACAGCGAGGGCGAGCCCCCATCGCGGGCGGTCACAACCACCTTATAGCCAGCTGTGGTCTCTCGGTCCAGGGCGCTGGCCAGCACAAGTGAATGATAATTCTTGAAGGTGGACACCAGCTTGAAGGGGACATGAGGGCTCAGGGAGCAGGTCACCTGCCCGTTGACACCCATGTCCCGATCAGACACACTGATGAGTGCAATGACTGTGCCCACTGGAGCATTCTCTAGGATTGGAAGGGACAGAGATTTGAATTCCAAAGCTGGGACATTATCATTGATGTCTTCAATTTCTACAATAACTCTACAATGTCCGGAGAGAGGGAGTTGTCCTTTGTCAATGCCCTCTATAAGAATTTCATAGGATTTGCATTCTTCAAAATCAATGTATCCCTTTACAGTAATCTGTCCTGTAACTGGATCTATGTGGAATTTGCGTTTCACATCTGGTGAAATATCTGTAGAAAAGGAATACATAACGTCCCCATTCAAGCCTTCGTCTAAATCTGAGGCATTGACTTTGATTACCACTGTTCCATCTGGTACGTTTTCTGGTAATTTCACAGCATAGAGAGGTTTGTCAAAGACTGGAGAATTATCATTGGCATCCAGCACCGTGATGTGTATCTGAACAGTGCCAGTCAGCTCGGGTTTGCCTCCATCGGTGGCTGTGAGCACTAAAAAAATCTCTGGAGTTTCCTCTCGGTCTAAGGATTTTCGTAATACAAGCCCAAGACCTTTTATCCGTTCATCGTCTGATGGTTTCTCCAACGAAAAATAGTCGTTGGGACTTAGCCTGTAAGTCAGCATAGCATTGATTCCGATATCAGCATCTGATGCACCCTCTAGTGGAAACTGAGTGCCAAGAGCTCTTGATTCTGCAATGAACAGATTCTTTTGTGTTGCTGAGAACATCGGAGGGTGGTCGTTAATGTCCCTCACCTCCACCTCCACGTGGAAAACCTGCAGCGGCCGGTCCACGATCACCTCCAGGTGGATGCTACACTCCACGCTCCGCCCGCACAGCGCCTCCCGGTCGATCCGAGAATTCACAAACAAAATGCCATTCTGCAGATTTACCTCCAGAAGGTCCCCGCGGTCCTTGGACGCCACCCTGAACAGGCGGGGCACCAGCTCTGCCAGCTCCAGCCCCAGGTCCTGAGCGATGCGGCCCACGAAGGTGCCGTGTTTGGCCTCCTCGGGGACGGAGTAGTGGAGCTGGCTGTTCCCCGCCTCCCAGGCTGCGAGGAGCAGAAAAGAGAGCAGCAGGCGCCTTGATTCCTGGCCACTTCCCCAGGAAACTTCCATCTCAAGTGCACAGTGCTTTGTTCTGATTAGGGATCCACTCTCAGAGATAGGAGAATTCTTCTAATTCGTCAGTCCATCGCCTCTGCATCCTCCATTGTTCAGATTCGGGATGGTGGATACAGCTTTCCGGGAAGAATGGAAATGATTTTTTTCCTTTGGACTGTCTTCTGTCGGATTTATTTTATGGTAAAGAGCGACATCATGTGGCTCCAAACTGTAAGTATGGATTCCGGAAATCCAGAACTCTAAAAACTGTCCTGTTTATTCCTTCAGCCTCACAAATAGGTTTCTTGCTTTGCAAAATAGACTTATATTTTGTAGGTATGTGTTCTGTACCAGTAATTAATTATGTGGGATCTTTTGTTTTACCAGAACATCAATTTTTAACACAGTGGAAATTCTTTTTCATGTGGGTTTTAAGTATTTATACAGACCCAGCTATCATTAATATAAACTTTATTAATATAAACTTTGTTAATATGCAGTTGTGAGGGGTAAGTTAGGAAAATTCATGACAGATTCCTTGTGTGCTCTCAAATGGTGGCTTGTGATTGCTAATGGCACTCTGTTCATCCTTGGGCTTGTAATATTTGTTCTGAATCTCGAGAGAACCAACATTTAGAGAACCACTGATCCTAAGAACAAGTCGATGAAAGGGAGGTTCGCAGACACTGTTTTAAGAAATCAAAGTCTGGCCGGAAGTTGGTAGTGCACGCCTTTAATCCCAGCACTCGGGAGGCAGAGGTAGGAGGATCTCTGTGAGTTCGAGGCCAGTATGGTCTACGGAGTAATTTCCAGGGTAGCCTCCAAAGCTACACAGAGAAACCCTGTCTCAGAAAAAGAAAGGAAGGAAGGAAGGGAGGGAGGAAGAAAAGAAGGAAAGAAGGAAGGAAGAAAGGAAGGAAGGAAGAGTCGAAGTCTGTTAACATTCAATGAACTGTCTTCCTGGAATCACAGAAGGCCCAAGTGTGCATGGAAGATTTAACAAGGAATTTGAAGCATGTAGTAAATAGCCATGAGCAAGTGTGATATTCTCATTTTTGCTCTTGTTGTTTATAAATTCCTGGTGCTTTCTGGTGTTCAAGATGTCTAGATTTCTATTTTCTCATATTGTCCTCATGGTTTAGTCACAGAAGATAATTTCCCACCTCTGAAAAAACCATTCATTAGCAAACAGACACACTCCTTTTGTCCACTAAGTAATGGATTTAGCAAATAAGAATCTCTGTGTTGTTTATTTCCTTAAGATATAAAAATAAATAAGTGTTTTAAGTAGACTAGTAGGCCAGCCTTAAATTGAGTGGTAGGATCTGGAGTTGCATAAGAAAAGGGAAATTTTTTTTCTAAACTCTCTACAAACCAATTTCACACACTTTGTAACAATTTTAAGAGCTCCCCAAATTATGAGGCATTTCATGATTAAACCAAGAAGATGTTCTACCCTCTTTGATAATCTGCAACACCAAGACTGCATTGTTTGGTTCATTTGTTACTTTAATTTCTCCTTAACAACTCTTTAAGTATATGTGCCCTCTTTTGAAATAATACTTTTAAAGTCAAACATTGTATATTAATATTAGTACATCAGAGGTATTCAAATAGTGCTTGTGGTGTATTTACCCAACAAAACTGGTTTCCTTTTCACTTTTGAGATAGGCTTTTATTTAGCCTAGGCTGTCCTTGAACTCACAGTATAGCCATGGCTGACCAGAAATGTCTGACTCCCCTGCCCCAAGTGCTGTATTACAGGCATGCACCAACACAAGTTTCACGTGTTGCTAGAAGAACTCGGAGCTTTTTGCATACTAGAGGAACACTCTACCAACTGGACTTCATCCCCAGCGAGTTTCATTTCTTTAATTTCTTAATAAAATATGCTAATTTAAGGTTAAAATGGTATCTCAACAATTTACTTTTCTAGATATAAAAAAACTATATGACATTGACCTAAATAGGATATATTTCAATGTAGAAAGCATGGGTTTTACCTTAATTTTCATGTCACGTTTTGCCAGGCATATTCTTTTATTCATCAAGGGTTTTAATGGACAATAGAGAGTTCCTAGCAAATGAAGCAATTTCCTATACAACCTCAACAAAGGAGAAGATGGTGGAGGTATTCCGCTGCAAACTATTTTTGCATCTTAAATTCATAAGTTTCTTTCTTCCATGTTTGCTTAGACCAAAGAAAACTCAAGTTATCAAAAAATAATTTTAATCTCCCTCTTTCTGTGAAAAGCCCCTCTCTCCTTTCCTCTCTCTCACTCACACAAAAACTAATTTCTGAATCGACACAGAAATAAGCATGCTCTCACTGAGTAGCCAAAGGGTTTTTTCACATTATCAAAGATGTAAAACACACTGGAAGAGGCCACAAGAAGAACCTTTCCTTTATTTGATTTACGGAGCCTGCAGATGCACAGGTAGGGGTGCCTCAGAATAGGAATGGATATTTGTGACAGTTGATCTTCATTCTTAAGTTGATTTCCAACAACCCTGATGGCAACAAACCTTCGGGTATGTTCATGGTATTGTTCTGGATTACATTAATTGAGGTGAGATTAATCCTGGATGTGGGCAACACCATTGCATGGCTAAAGATTTGCTTTGAATAAAAAGCAGAAAGCAGCTGAGCAACAGCATTCATCACCCTCTGCTTCCAAACTGCCAGCATACACTGACCTGCTGGCAAGACTTCCACACCATGATGGACCACACCCTGGAACCTCCACCCAAAACAAACCCTTCCTTTCATACGTTGATTTTTAACAGGACTTTGTCACAGCCACAAGAGAAATAACAAATACAACATTAATTCAAAACAAATAGATATTAAATAAATAAATTTTCATTTTGCATCCAATGAGATAGACTAGTGGGTAAAAGGCAATTTCCATGCAAACCTGGCCATCTGAGTTTGAGCCCCAAAACACATGGAGGAAGGATAGTGTCAATTCCCACAACTTAGCCACTGATCTCTATATGTGTCACACACACAAATTAACTCACTGATAATTAACCAACCAATTAATTAATTATTCACTCTTATAGCTCAAATATATATTTAAGGAGAAAAACAAAACACTTCAAATTCTTCAAATCATCTTTGCTGAAGTTCAAGACCAACTGAGCTTTTTAAAACCCTATATCAAAAATTTTCAAAAGTATGTATCCTTGAAAGTACTTTTAGTCAAGCATTTCAGGAAGAGCTAGACTAGAAGATTAAACTCCTATATCTGAGGAACAAGAACTCTGCATGACCCTGTAACCTACAACAGGATGATAGCAAACCAATAAAGTAATTAAGATTGGATTGCTGTGGGAAATACTTGATGGATGAAGGAACAGAGAAAGGATAATTCTGGGAAGGAAAATGTAAATCAGAAAGAGAAAAGACTAAACATATTTCATAAGTTAGACTAACCAAATGCATGAAGTGTTAATTGTGTTTTACTTGGATAATATTTCTCTCTGTAAACAAGTGGAATTGAATAGGAGTTCAAGTATGTTGTAAGAGAAATTGACAGATGCATTGCAAAACTAACTGTAGAACAGTCTCACATAAATTATATTTGATTAAAAAAGAAGAAAAATAGAAGACACAAAGAAAATTTCATTTGATATCAGTTGTCTGAAGATTCTGCTTATTGCAAGACAAATCGATACTCATGGAGCCAAACTGAAAATAACTCTTCACAAGATTAAAAATATTTTTCTTTATTTTTGGGGGGCTCTGAATCAGAATTTCTCTGTAGCTTTGGAGGCTGTCCTAGAACTCACTCAGTAGACTGGGCTGACCTCAAATCACAGAGATCCACCTGCCCCTGCCTCCTGAGTGTTGGGATTAAAGGCATGCCCAGCTAAAAATATTTTTCAATTGGAGAAAACAATGAAGACAACATAATGTTTTGAGAACCTTGTTTTGCTTTGATGTCTCATAATTTTTAATGTAATGTTTAAACTATCACTGTGGAAGGTGCATGCCTTTAATATCAGCACTTGGGAAGCAGAGGAAGGTAAACCTCTGTGAGATCTAGGCAAGCTTGATTCACAAAGCTACTTCCAGGACAGCTAGGGCTGTTACACAAAGAAACTCTGTCTTGAAAACCCAAAAGAAAAAAAGCACACATGTATATGGACTAAACTCATATATAATTTAAATTTTTAAATTAAAATAACTGTTGAATAAAAATTTAATACTCCCACATACATATGTTTTTTTAAAATAATATGATATTTTAAATCTAATGATAAATTACTTTCAGTTTGGTCAATTGGTTGAAAATAAGCCTGTATATAATTTTTAAACTTCTTCAATGTTAACCTATTATGTGTAGTTATAAGGATAATAATGTCCTATGAGTGGTAAGTCAAAGAAATATCAAGCATTCAAGCTTGACTAACCAACCATTTAGTGAATGGGCCAGTGACAATTCTACTAGCACCTCCTAGAAATCCCCAAGAAAGAAGCAAAGGATACTGAAGCTTTGCACACAGATTAGAGACATACCAGATGCTCTAAATGTCATTCACACAAAAAGAAAATGGTTCCCATTTGTACATAGACTGCCGTAAAATAAACCTATCACTTTATTTACCAGCAAACACGATGTAAGTGTGGATCTCACAACTAGTCGATTCAGTACAGAATTTAGTCATGAGAACCGACAGCTTTAATGACAAAATTGGTGAGTGTGAAGTGTTCAACAAAAAGAACATAAATAGAATAATAATTAAGTTCAACATATCTCCAAGGACTGAAAGTACTAACATATAAAACGAGAACATTTTAGACAGAAAATTACTCACTTTCATGGCGAAATCAGTGTCTGCCACCAGTTTGTCCTCTTTCTCCTGACTAACTGGGCAGGGTGTGAGACTTGGGCTGAAGGCCATGAGGTCTGTCTTGGGTGGGCCCTCTCCAGAGCACACTCTCTGTCTCCTCTGCTGTGAGTATGACCAGCTCCCCACCGCGCTGGAGCACACCAGCACAGGCTTCCCGGGACTGCAAGAGCCTTCTGTGGGCATTGCTGAGCACCTGAGTGCAAGGTACAGCAGCAGCGTGAGCACCAACAGGCTGGACACGGCACAGATGGCGATGATCAGGTACACGTTGACATCTAAAAGCGATGTCTCCCTGCCCACAGAATCCACCAAAGCCCGA